TTGTATCACAAAATCATTATATCAAAAAAAAATATCTTAGAATCTAAAAATATATTCTGGCTTTAAATAACCTGCAAAGGGTTGATAATCTGTATAAAATGAATGAATCAATCAAAATCCAAACATTCATTGGACTAACGAAAGAAGCACTCCAAAATCTAACAAGTTGCTGAGAAATGGAAAAATGTTGTTCGAAACAAAGAAAAGAGAGTTGGATGTCAGTTATCAGTTATCTCCTGTTAATTCCCCTCTTCAAGTTCTCCACTGCCTCAGCCGGGTATTGAACTCACACTCGCAATGATAACAGCAAAAATTGCAATATGAGCACTGGTAAAAAATGGTTGCTGAAGACATTAGGTTTATAATACACAGAAATTCATACACAAAGGACACATGGCACAGTGGATAAAGGTGTTAGTTAGATCCAGTGACAGGACCCAAAGAGTGTGAGTGCAATACCCGGCTAAGGCAGTGGAGAACTTTCAGAGGGAAATTAACAGGAGATAACTGATATCCATTAATCATGGCACGTGGAACTAGAAGCAGTAAGCGAAATAAAAGGTTCAGTTCAACATTCCACCACCTGAAGAAGACATTGTAATAAATATGGCAACAAAGATGAGGACAATAGTCTAAATAATGTGCATTTTATTTTTAATCTCAAAAAAGATTTAATATTGTCAAAAGTTTTCTTTAATGTACTGCAGAGATTTGATGTACACACACATATATATATATATATATATATATATACTATTAATAATAAATATACATATTTTTCCCCTCACTTTTAATATCAGATGGGGAGGTAAAAAATGTATACTTATTATTAATAGTATAAATTTTAACCACTATTTTATATCAAGTACTTTTATTACCATCAGCACTCTTTGTGCAATATTATATATATATATATATATATATATATATATATAATATTGCACATATAAATAAGACTATCCTAAAACATGATACTTTTCTCTTTTTAAATATTAGTATGTTGTACTAAATTACTTCCCAGGCGGCAGTGTATGGGTGGGTATGTATTGTTAGTAATCTTGTCTACCTCAAGATATAAAACCTTTAGTTGCTTTTTGTAAGAAAAAAAAAAAAAAATGCTACTTAATCTATTGAAAGCAATAAAATATTTTTAGAAAGTAAGAGGAGATGGTTAATGGACGAGGTGTGTGGACGTGAGGGAAGTAAAATGAAAACTTAATTAATCATATAGAACAAAAAATAGAATAAATAAATAGCATAACCAAATTTTCTCCTTAGGTTCTTGCTTCCATTTATGGATATTGAGACAAGAAACGAACATTTGAAGAAAAGGTTGGTGGGGGGACAAGGAGGAAGAAAAAAAAAAAAGAAAGAATCACAGATCTTTGAATATAAGAAAAAGAGAGAAACAACATAGTTCGGTTGTATCCGACATCAACAACTGCATCACGAAAAACAAGCCAAGCTCATGAACCCGTACGAGTTTGAGATGTTACATAAATGCCGATTTGTGATCAATATTGAAATATAACATTTTAAAAGCCTAGAAAATTAATGCCCTGAAAGCGGTGGAAACGAAAGAAAAAGCATAGCTGGGAAGGTCATATAGTTTGGATGCATAGTGAATGGTAAAGAGAAGTGGATAACGAGAAAGAACGCTCTGGCAAAGGAGAGCATGGAGGGGAAGAGAGGATAGACAATGAAACAAACAAAGATAAAATTCAGAAATGAAGAAAAATAAATAAACAGAACACTATCTTAATAAAAGAAGTAAAGAATTTGTTTTTTAAAAAAAAATAATAAATACAAAAACGGTAAACAAAGAAGCAAGGCATCAATCAAAGTATTTTGAAGACTTGTAAATAACATACATTGGAATATTTTCAGAAAGCTGAGAGAAGAGAGATGAAGAGTGAAGAAGGTTTGAAACAGGAAATAGGAAACAATGAAAGAATCACAAAGGAAGTAGTGGGGGGGAGGACAAAGGCAGAGAAAGAGAAGAACGAAAGAAAAATAGAATGAGACAATGAGAGGGTGACGAGACTTTAGAAGGAGAGACTGAATGAGTGTGAAAGAAAGACGAGAAGAGAAAGAGTGAAGAAAAAAGACAAAGGGAAATGGGGTGGGGGATGAGAAAAAAGAAAAGAAAGTGAGGTTGGAATTAGAGAAAGAAAATGGTTGGGTGGGGAGGAATTCTAAAATGGAGGAAAGAAGTAATGAAGTCAGGAAAAGAAGAAAAAGGTGAATTTGAAATTCTGATGCTTGGCTAGGGGAGAAGGAAAATGAAAATGAGAGGATAAACAAGAAATAGAGTAAAGGAATGAGAGAGTGGAGAGAGAGGGAGGAGAAAGAGAACAGTGAAAAGAGAGAGAGGGAGGAGAAAGAGAACAGTGAAAAGAGAGAGAAGGAGGAGAAAGAGAACAGTGAAAAGAGAGAGAAGGAGGAGAAAGAGAACAGTGAAAAGAGAGCCTTGAGTAGAGAGAATCAAAAAAGAGTTGTGATTGGAGAGAGAGAGAGAGAGAGAGCAGTGAATAGAGAGATTGGAGAAAGAGAGCAGTGAATAGAGAGATTGGAGAAAGAGAGAAGTGAATAGAGAGATTGGAGAAAGAGAGCGGTGAATAGAGAGATTGGAGAAAGAGAGAGAGAGAGCATTGAATGGAGAGATTGAAGAAAGAGAGAGAGAGAGCATTGAATGGAGAGATTGAAGAAAGAGAGAGAGAGAGCATTGAATGGAGAGATTGGAGAAAGAGAGAGAGAGAGCATTGAATGGAGAGATTGAGAAAAGAGAGAGAGAGCATTGAATGGAGAGATTGGAGAAAAGAGAGAGAGAGCATTGAATGGAGAGATTGGAGAAAGAGAGAGAGAGCATTGAATGGAGAGATTGGAGAAAGAGAGAGAGAGAGCATTGAATGGAGAGATTGAGAAAGAGAGAGAGAGAGCATTGAATGGAGAGATTGGAGAAAAGAGAGAGAGAGCATTGAATGGAGAGATTGGAGAAAGAGAGAGAGAGCATTGAATGGAGAGATTGGAGAAAGAGAGAGAGAGCATTGAATGGAGAGATTGGAGAAAGAGAGAGAGAGCATTGAATGGAGAGATTGGAGAAAGAGAGAGAGAGCATTGAATGGAGAGATTGGAGAAAGAGAGAGAGAGAGCATTGAATGGAGAGATTGGAGAAAGAGAGAGAGAGAGCATTGAATGGAGAGATTGGAGAAAGAGAGAGAGAGCATTGAATGGAGAGATTGGAGAAAGAGAGAGAGAGAGCATTGAATGGAGAGATTGGAGAAAGAGAGAAAGAGAGCATTGAATGGAGAGATTGGAGAAAGAGAGAGAGAGCAGTGAATGGAGAGATTGGAGAAAGAGAGAGAGAGAGCATTGAATGGAGAGATTGGAGAAAGAGAGAGAGAGAGCATTGAATGGAGAGATTGGAGAAAGAGAGAGAGAGCAGTGAATGGAGAGATTGGAGAAAAGAGAGAGAGCAGTGAATGGAGAGATTGGAGAAAAGAGAGAGAGAGCATTGAATGGAGAGATTGGAAAAAGAGAGAGAGAGCATTGAATGGAGAGATTGGAGAAAGAGAGAAAGAGAGCATTGAATGGAGAGATTGGAGAAAGAGAGAGAGAGCATTGAATGGAGAGATTGGAGAAAGAGAGAGAGAGAGCATTGAATGGAGAGATTGGAGAAAGAGAGAGAGAGAGCATTGAATGGAGAGATTGGAGAAAGAGAGAGAGAGAGCAGTGAATGGAGAGATTGGAGAAAGAGAGAGAGAGCAGTGAATGGAGAGATTGCAGGGAGAACGCAATGAATGGAGAGATTGCAGAGGGAATAAAATGAATGGAGAGATTGCAGAGGGAACGCAATGAATGGAGAGATTGTAGGGAGAGAGCACGCAGGGAATAGAGAGATTGTAGAGAGAGAGAGCACGCAGGGAATAGAGAGATTGTAGAGAGAGAGAGCACGCAGGGAATAGAGAGATTGTAGAGAGAGATAGCAGTGAAAAAGAAATAGAAGGAACAAGAGATTTGAAAAGAAAGATACAAGGCAGAAGTGAATAATAGGGAGGAACAGTTCGAGAAGGAAAGAGAGAGAAAGAGAGCAAAAAGAGTGAAGTGAAGGGAAGAAATTAAAGTAAGGCTCCAGTCTCAAAAACCCACAGAGAAAAAAAGAAATGAAAAGAAAAAGAAATGAAAAGAAAAAGAAATGAAAACTTGTGACTGAAAGAAGTCTCTGCTTAGTGGGACAGTGTCACAGGTCATGGTTCAAGCAGGGTAGGTTAAAGAATAAAACTTGGAATGCTGATTCTCAAAGCGGGCAAAATTTTGCAGTAAATGAAATTCTTGTAACACAATCTTACTACTTGCCATTTTCATTACTATTTTGCCTTTGTGCCATACTCTTATAGACTATAAGAGGAAAGGAGAAAATTAGCAAAAAGAGAAAGAAAAAGAAAAAATAGATTTGGTAAAGAAGAACAAATATAAGGAAAAAAGAGGGAGAGAGAGAGAAAGATGGATAGGAGAAGGAGACAATCAAACAGAAACAAGAAAGAGAAAGGTGGGGAAGGGGACAGCGAGAAAAATCAAAGAGAGACAGGGAGTAGAGAGAGAAAAATCAAAGAGAGACAAGGAGTAGAGAGAGAAAAATCAAAGAGAGACAGGGAAATAGAGAGAGAAAAATCAAAGAGAGACAGGGAAATAGAGAGAGAAAAATCAAAGAGAGACAGGGAAATAGAGAGAGAAAAATCAAAGAGACAGGGAAATAGAGAGAGAAAAAATCAAAGAGAGACAGGGAAATAGAGAGAGAAAATCAAAGAGAGACAGGGAAATAGAGAGAGAAAAAATCAAAGAGAGACAGGGAAATAGAGAGAGAAAAATCAAAGAGAGACAGGGAAATAGAGAGAGAAAAATCAAAGAGAGACAGGGAAATAGAGAGAGAAAAATCAAAGAGAGACAGGGAAATAGAGAGAGAAAAATCAAAGAGAGACAGGGAAATAGAGAGAGAAAAATCAAAAGAGACAGGGAAATAGAGAGAGAAAAAAAAAGAGAGACAGGGAAATAGAGAGAAAAATCAAAAGAGACAGGGAAAAGAGAGAAAAATCAAAGAGAGACAGGGAAATAGAGAGAGAAAAATCAAAGAGAGGAAAATAGAGAAAAATCACAGGGAAGGAGTAGAGAGAGAAAATGAGAGGGAGTGAAAGAGAGAGAAAAACAGACCAAGGGGATGATGGGAAGAGAAAATCAAAGAAGTGCAAAAAATTAACCTATGAAAGAGAGACTGCGGTGTAGGGTGTCAGGGAGAAAGAAAATCTAAAGAGAGATTTTCTAGAGATAAAAAGAACAAGAATCTGAAGATGTGGGTAAGAAAAACAAACACACAGGGCCAAGAGATTTCTGTACAAGTCATTGGACAGCATTCATTAAATCACATCTAAGTCTTTGATTTATGACTATTGTCTGACTGGCTGTGAAAGTTTTTGAAAACGCCAGCCACTGTTGTTTGCTGTTCAACTCCCAACAAACCCGAACCCAGCCATTACCATTACCCCCCCCCCCTGACAACCACCTTCTCTCCTCCCAGAATCCTTTTCCTTCTCCTTTCCCATTGAGCAGTACAAAAATCCCAGTTTGTTGTAGTCATTATTACCATTCTTATTACCATATCCATGACTGCCGGGTTCTATTACTATTATTATTATCAATAATGGCTGTTGTTGCTACAATGAAATAGAGGGACAAGCAATATTGGTGAGACAAAAAAGGAAAGAAGAAAAAAAAAAAAAAAAATGCTTCCTTGCAAGCCTGCCAAATAACAATTACAAGTAATTTGCAACAGAAATTAAAGCTGTTTATATTCTCCAAGTTAGAAAATTTAAAAAAGATCGCCAGTTGGTGGTGAATCTTTTAGGTATTTGTTCGATATGAAGCCCATAATTTCTCAAGATTAATGGTATCGGTAGAATACAGTACAACGATAGGCCAACAAATAAAATCTTCGTTTTCCCAAATTTTATTAAGGACATCATCGAACAGAATGTTTGAGGAAGTTAAAGATTGTGTTGCCACTGAACAAATAAATCAAGATTTGCTTTGTCCACAACAAAGAATAAGGGAAAAATTACAGAAAATTACAGAAAAAAAAATTACAGAAAATGATAGAAATACAGAAAAAATATAAAAAAAAAAAAAAATCACTTCAGAAAAATCACTTCAAAAATATTAAAATGGTAATATTAACCATTTTTTTTTATAAAGTAACATTCTGCATTTATTTATCAAGCAGCCAGTGCAACATTTGGTTGAAATTTATAAAATTTTTCACTGTTATTGGTCTTTCCAATATTAATGGTGTCTTCCTTTCTAATCTTTTGTCCAAAGTTGGATAGAATGTCATCATTTTCATTTTTAATTTTTTTTTTTCAATCATATCATGCCAATCAAAGTGATAATGTTTCTAAGACACAAGAGCTTACTTGGAATCAAAGAGAATGAGAAAACTTTAGTCAGGTTTCAGGAAGACAGAAGATTGTAATTGGCATTGCATTTAAATTTTTGAAGATTGTTTGTGGCGGGGAAGCAATAAATCTAAAGGGAGTTTCACAGACGAGATGTGCTAGAAAAGAATCTATTAAAATAGAATTTACCATTGCATTTAACTAGTTCAACAGTAAAATGGTGAGACCTAATTGCCAATCTAGTAGCACGCTTAAATTCATGCAGTTGAACGTCAATATCTTGATCATATCATTATTTTCTCTTTGAGTTACATGTGCTCTCCATTTTAGTTGTTGTCATCAAGTGATGGGCTTTCTGTTATAGGATACAGATCTTTTTTTTGTGATTCTGTAGCACAAAATCCAAAGAAAGACAATCTTTGCTAAGACTTACAAGCTTCATTTGATGTAGGCCATTTTAAATCATTGATCTGAGAAAGCAGTTGTATACAGCTGATAGTTTAGATACTTCTGAAAGGGTTTGATGCCAGGCATTAAATCTAGATGAAAGTCTTGATCTAAGGAAGGCTATTTAAGAACATGACTTGAGTTTTCAGGTTAACGTTTTGGTTTTGTAGCAATTTGCAGTTTTGAGTGAAACTACACTTAGCATAGTGTATTCTAAGTTCAATTTTCTTACTTCCCATACTAAATTTGTTATAATTGATCTGTTCAAGTCTACCATTCGTCTTTGCTTTGAATATTGCTGACACATATGGTCAGGTGCTCCTGCTATATATTTAGAGATCCTCAATAAAATCCAAAGAAGAATCTGCAATGTCATTGGTCCTGACCTGGCATCTCAGCTTCAGTCACTTTCCCACCAGTGTAATGTAGCTTCCCCTGTGCCTTCTCTATAAATATTTTCATTGTAATTGTTCAGATGAACTTTTCTCTATGGTTGGTACCTAGACTTTATGAATTTAAGCACGGTACTACATTGGCAGAAAGGTCTCCTCATTTTACAATTGAAATGGCTAGTTGTAACTGTAAGTTCTATGCTAAATTTTTTTTCTCACACTTCTCGCTTGTGGAACTCTTTCTGTTTTGCTTTCCAGTCAAGTTTGATTTTCAAAAATTTCAATGCAATGTCAAGTGTCATCTTCTGTCTTCTTAATTCCTCTTCCTTTGTTGTTCTCTTTATTTAATAATGTTTTAGGGTTTCTTATATTCTTTCACACTCAGTAACCTCCCTGTGTCTTAGTGGCTTGGGGGTGAAAAAAGAAAAAATACACAGAAGTATTTGAAGGGTTTAGTATTTACCATATTCTGAATTTTTATGATAGGGTTGGTGCCATCACTGCTTTCATTCCAATTCCAGATCAGAGTTTGTTTTTTCTAAAGATTTATAATAGGGAATAGAAAGATTACATTATACCACTTTTACAAGCAAGGCAATAAAGCCACTAAGATGCAAGAGGTTACTGAGTGTGAAACAATATGAAAAAGAGAAACGTTATTAAAGACAGCAAACTATAAAAGAACAAGAATTATGAAGACAGGAGATAATGGTACAAACAGAATGTGTGCTTTTATCTGACTGCCTTGAAAATCAGCATGTGTGCTCACCTTATATGGCTCTGGTAGAGAATGCACATTTATTTCAACCATGAGGGAAGCATCAAGGAAAATCTCACAGATGAAGAGACTTGAAGTAACAGTGATGCCATTCCACTGACAAATGCTAAGAATCCCATGTACGGAATATGTGATAAACAAGGAAGTTTCCAGGAAACATAAATATGGAAAACAATGCTTACAATCAGAGAAAGACAGTTGAAATTTCTAGGACATATAATGAAGAAAGAGGGCCTAGAGAATTTAACACTTCCAAGACCTATTAAAACCAAGAGAAGAAATCATTGAGTAACCTACCATTTGTATATGCATGACAGAACAGAGAGTGTGAGGGATAGAAGAACAACAAATATTGCTCAGAGTGATAGAGAATAGGAAGTTGTGGAGAGAATTTAATTCTCACAGGACATATTGAATACACAAGAAACAGCAAGTAGCCTACTTTAATGAGTTTGTGTGAATGGATGGCAGAACAAGAACAAAGGATGATGAATGGTAAAGGGTTTAAAATTAATGGGAAAAAAAAAAAAAAGTTGGGGTAAGCCATGATCACCCACATCCTGAAATGATAAGGAACATAAAAGAAACAACTTTAATGTTATTTTATGAATATTCACTATGGAAATAAGTTTATAAATATTTGCTATAGCAAATTTGTAACAACATTAAAATTTTTATATTTCCTACAGAAAAAAATTTAAATATCTGCTATAGGAAAATTAATAAATATTTGGTAAAATTTTTTTTAAATATTCACTGTGGGAAAAAAAAATTTAAATATTCGCTGTAGAAAATGTAATAAATATTCGCTGTAGAAAAAAACTGCAAAATATGTGTTCATGTATAATCTACCAAGTGTACTTGTAAGGTTTTTGTCTAATGTCTCTAAATTTTTACTGTACTTGAGTTCTCTCCCTTGCACAAGCAAACAAGACTGTAAAAGAGTAAGGTACAATGATAATTGAAAAAAATACATTTAACGATTCACAAGCAAAAAATCTAAGGACTTAAAATATGCCAACATTTTCTTTTTATTTTGAAATGGCAAAACTAATTTCAATATTTGACTAGACATAAAGAGGAGGTTCGGTTTCCTATTGTTATTAAGTAATAAACTGCCCCCCCCCAAGAATTACAAGATATTAATAATTGGAAACTTGTTTTATGTGGCATGTCTCTTTAGGACATGCGCAATTATGGCTCTCCACAACTTTCTATCCTTTGGAACTCAAAAGACTGTCTCTTCACTATTCCCTTCCAATTCTTGTTCTGCCACATAAGCTCATGAGGCAGGTTACTCATGGTTTCTTGAATTTAAAATGAACATGGGTTCACATGCTATGGTGATGGAATAGATTATAATGTCCCATATCTAAAATGAACTTACAGTTCAAAGGCATTTTAGCATGTGTACATTGACATTAAAATAAATTTTACTGATAGTGGTTTGATGTCATTTGATATAAAGGGCTTCCAAAATTTGTAAACTTTTTTCAAGGGATTTAGACTGGCCAATTACTGTTGTATTATTAACTATAATCTGACAATAATTAGAAGCAGCACTGTGGGTTTGTCCTGGATGTTTATACGTGGTACTTTTCTTGGAGAGATGACAGGACAATCTTCTAGAGTGAAATGTGAATAAATAAAAAAAAATGTTTGCAAAGACATATCTTCCTACCCTGAGTAAAGCTGCACATCAAGGGCAAGAAAAAAACTATTGAATTTCTTAAATATTATAACTATATAAAACATATTACATAAAAAAAACAAATGTTCATTTTTGACATCAACTAAATGTGAAATTTGTTCTATCTTACAGATGTTCTTATGTGATATATAATCTGAAATTGTTTATATAAGATAATTTTTTGTTATAAAAAGAAATTTGTTTGAATTAAATAAATATGGTAAATTTTCTAACTATTTATAGTTCAATAAACTTTGGACACATTTATTTTATCATAACATTCAAAATCACTGATTATTTGGCAAGTTTAACTATATTTTCCTAAAGAATTAATAATTTTTATTTATTAATCTGACATAACTTAAATTTTATTTTTAGTGGATACCGATATTTGAGTAGATGTTCTGTTTACTTTAAACAGTATTTTATTTCATCTAACAGGCTGAAGATTTGAGAAATCTTATCAAGAAAATGTAGCCTCCAGCAGAACTCAAACCTGTTT